TATTTATAACTATGTACTTTCTGTAATACTGTACTGTGTCCCATATTTCCCCATAGGGTTCAATAAAAGTGGCATTTCATTCTTTCTGTTCATGGTGTCAATATGCAAACATAGTTAGTGGGTTGTTGGCGGGTGCTCTGGTGTGGTTTGTTTCTTCTTTCCTGTCACACATCTATCATTCTTATCTCCCCTCCTATTTTATGTTTGTTACTCTCTTGTAACACCTCTAATCTTCGGCACTTACATGACTTTATTGAATTGCAAGTGCCGTAAAACTCTTACTAAAACTAAAACATAGTGGTCTACACTACAGATAGAAGGGCAGAGAGAGAGAGAAAGAGAGAGAGAGAGAGAGAGAGAGAGAGAGAGAGAGAGAGAGATTATCCAATAAATAGATTTTGATAGAATAAAATAGATAGACTGATAAACAAACAGACAGATGAGTAGACAGATAAACAGTGAGACAGCTAGGCCCTATATGTCTGAAAGAAAATTTGTGCCAGAAGTGGGTTGTGTGGATTGTAGATCTTTACCGTATGTGGGTAGTTGGTGGGTGGTCTTGTTTGGTTTTCCTCTAAAAACGAAAACGAAAACTAATAGATCGTTGCAGTTCTTTGTAAACACACCCATCACCAACAAAATTGTTGTTGAAGAAATCTATGACAAAACATCTCGTCCTTTACAGCCCCCCCCCCCCCCCTCCTTTCTCCTCCCAGACAAATGCTTATTGAGACATCTCTCTTACCCCTCCCAATCTCTTTCTCTTTCTCTTTCTCTCTATCTTTTTCAATCTCTCTCTGTCTCTCTCTGTCTCTCTCTCTCTCTCTCTCTCTCTCTCTCTCTCTCTCTCTCTCTCTCTTTCTTTCTCTCGCTCCCTCTCGCCATCTCTCTCTCTAACTCTCTAACTCTAACAAACGCACAAACATACACCACACACACCCACACACCCACACCCACACACACACACACACACACACACACACACACACACACACACACACACACACACACACACACACACACTTTCACACACACACATACATTTCACATGCACAAACAAACAACAATAAACACACAATTACCTTCACAAACCAACGCTTAATTCAAACTCAACAAGCAACAAAAGTTTAAAAAGAGAAAAGAACACCTCAAAATAGGGAATCAATCATGAAATAATTCTTTATTAAAATAATGTACCCAAGATATCCAGCACATTCAAAGAGAATGCTAAGACACAGAGTGTTTTATTGCAGAAAGTCAGAGGAGCAGCGCCCAACTGCTGGTAAAGGCGAGGAGAAGAACAGAAGAAGAAGAAGGCACAAAATATTGACACATTTCTCCTATTGCCTGTCCCCGTCGTTTTATGGACACAAAAAAACCCCCCCAAAAATTCTGAAATTAATAAATTATGCAAACTGAGTCCAAAAATGTGAAATTATGCCATTCTGTTAATTTTAACAAAGAATGGTAAAGGAAAATAATAAGAAATTATGGAGAAAAAAAAAGATCAAATTTTGCTAAATTATGCGGGGTGCTTAGAACCACGGGGACAGATTTGCATGGGTAAATCAAATAGTCAGTGTGTGGGTACGAAAGCCCTATCAACAGTTAGCCTATTTAAGAGGCGACACCTCGGAACTTAATGTTCGTCTCCGATATGACAGAGTAAAAACAAAATGGACCACCGAGAGCCTTAAAAAAACCCTACAAAACGACCTAAGTTTTCTTTTAAAAACAACCACACTCAGTCTAGTATTCGAACCCGGGTCATCCACTACGTAGTTCAGCATGATACCAACTTAGCTAACGAAACGCCCCCGCTGGCCTTGAGAGAAATAAAAGGCCTAAAAATGGACTACAACTCTGTCCTGGTCACCATAACAATTCTACGAACAAGAGCAAGGAGATGAGAGAATGAAGAGAGAGAGGGAGAGAGAGAGAGAGGGGGGGGGGGCAACAGGGGAAGAGTAAGAGTAAGACTTGAAAGTCTGACATTACAAAAGTGACAAAAATGAGAACATTACAAATTTGCAACATCAACCTTTCAATGTTACCTTCTCTTCTTCTTCTTCCTCCAGAAGACACAGTAAATATAATAACATACATAATATATAAATAGAATCCTAATACATATATATATATATATATATATATATATATATATATATATATATATAAAAATAAAAATATGAAACATTTATTATCGTACACGTATATCACAATATTATGAAGGGTACATATTATATCATATAACCCAGATTGCGGGGGATTTTTAGAAATCTTGACTTCCTCCAAAAAGTGGGCATTGTCCTACCTTTATCCTTTAGGGGGAGTTTCGTTTCATTGGTGTGTATATTACACGTGTATAATAATATAAAAATATATTACAATAACACATAATAATACCTGTATAAATAATAATTATGCTTCCAAGGTCAGAGGTCACTACTCATTTTGTCGATTTCCTCGTCTGGACCGACTAGTTCTGGGTCTTGTGTGCGCGACTTCCTCGGCGTATCTCTTGGAGATCTCATCAATGATACATTTGGCCTGCCATAGAATTGGAAGAACGAGGGTTAGTTGAGTGGTCTCAGCTGTGTAAAGAGAAGTTCTTCTTCTATTAAATATCTGTATAGTAGGCTTAAGTAGTCCGTATATTCTCTACCGCCTTTTTGCCTCCTCCCCCCCCCCTTTCCCCAGTTCTCACCTTCCGCTTTTCTTCACCCCACCCCACCCCCTCCC